GAAGTGTTGTATAATACATCACTTCCGCATTCTTGTGTGACTCTCCAGCTTCAGAAGCTGTAAAGAAGCTGATGGAGCAGATCTCTGCTTCATCAGCTTCTTTTGGGGGGTCTTAGGTGACATTAGGGGTCTTGGAGACCCCTGATGTCTCCATAAAGAGGACCTGTCACATATTTTGCTATCACAACATTTTTTTTAAAGTCCCCACCCATACATGCGTCGGGGGCGCATACGTGCAAAAAAGAAGATTGCGCCCATTACGCCGCACATGTTACATATCGCAGCGAACGTTGCAGTGAGAGCAATAAGTCTAGGGCCATCAATCACTGATAACACTAAACTGATGAGCGGTAAAAACGTTTAAAGTGTCGCCTATGGCCAATTTTGGTTGCATGCGATGTCGCGGGTGCACGCAATTTTAAAGCTTGACATGTTTGGCGTCTATTTAACCGACATGACCCGATCTTTTATATTTGACCAAAAAACTGGGTAATAATCAATGTTTCCTAACATACATTTTTTTTCAAAATTTTCAGTAATTTTTCCTAATTATAATAAAAAATAAAACCCCCAGTGGTGATTAAATACCACCAAAAGAAAGCTCTATCAGTCCCCAAAAAATGGTGTAAAATTAATTTCAGTACAGCGTTGCATGACGGAATAAATGTCAGTCGAAGTATCGCAGCGCTAAATACTGAAAAATGGCCTGGCCAGGAAGGGGGTCTAAACACCTGGTCTTGAAGTGGTTAAAGGGGACAATTGTTTTGAAAGTTCTACCCCCATAGACTTGCATTGAGCTCCAAGTTTGAATTAGAACGTTTCCATGTTCGAAATAGAACCAAACACAGGGGTGTTAGCCTCATCACTAACTATAACCACATCTCCGCACATACAAAAACAAAGCAGAGATATACTTACACGAGCAATAATAGTGCAGTGCTCAGTGGAGAAGATAAGGCGAGGCATGGAAGTTGCTGGTGGTTCTACAGACAGGAAAAAAAAAAAAAAAAAGGGGGAAAAAAAAAAAAAAAAAAAAAAGGGTGAAAAAAAAAAAAAAAAAATAGTCAGGCCACCTGAGGTTAAATGTGGACTGCAAAGCCTGGCAGCAAAAGGGTTAAACACAGACTACTCATGTGCATGAGTCCTTATGATATAGTAGGGTGGTCACTGGGCAGCGTTGACCCCTAGGTATGCTAGGAAAGTTAATACAATTTGATAAACATATTTTTGTGTTAGATAAGTATTAACAAGCACTACCTAAATAATATTTAGAAGCGACAGATAACCTTTACTTCACAGTTACCATACCTTTAAACTAGAGTACAAGCATGGCGTCTCAGGCTTCAAGAATCCCACTGAGCATGCGCCCTTCTTCTGGCTCCCCCTTCCCACATGATTCGCTAAAATCTCTCACCAACGGTTACCAGCGTAATGGGATCTTTTTATATGCGTGCCCAATTAGGTTTAAGTCACGTGTTTATAGTCCGCCCACTTGAATTCGTCACATCTTTTTCAGGCTCCGCATTGGCTAACCAAGCGTTGTCGCACTTAGTTTATCCTAGGCCTGTTGTCCAATCAGAGGGCGCTGCTTTTTACGAACTGCGAAAGTTGTGGAAGAGGCGAGCTGTGTTATCAGCTGAGTGCCGGGACTTGTCGGGGCCGACTGTGAAGGAGGGCGGATAATTCAGGTCTGTGTGCGTGGACGTTCATGTAGAGGTGAAGCCACTGCCTAATGTTCGTCTGTGAGGGCTGGGAGTCATTGTAGGTGTCTGTAATTCGGTTGTGTGATATCAAACGTGTATGTAAACCTTACCAATGGAAAGTGAAATATGCCTCACCCC